AAGGGTACTTTACTTCGTGATGTCCAGATCACCCATCCATCGGTATTATATGCCTTATGGTCTGGTCTGGTCTGCAATTTACCGTACTGGCATGAGAAGAAAATATCCAATTACGGTAGGTAACCTAGAAATAACTCATTTAGGTACATTTGAAAAAATACAATTGCATGTACGGTACTGACCATAACTGCAACCCTGCATCTCTGATGCACTTGGCTCTCATCCAGAGTATAGCTGTTCCACCTGCAACTGTTTTCTAACCTGCACTATTGCATGGATATAATGTATCTCCCTCGCAGCCCGTCATGAGCCCCTTCGCATAAGTGAACCTGCTCCGCCTGACTGCTCTCACAAGCATCCAACACTCTGCCAGGCCACACACACAGGCTGCAGGTCCATGCCTCACCTTCAATATGTACCGCGAGATGACGTGAGAGTGGAGGGGTGAAACGATGTGCAGTGCGGTGGGCATGTGAAGGCAAGGCAGCGCGGTGAAAAGGAAGAAAGAACCATCGGATGCGCCTCAAGTGAGGCTGCTGCTGGTCGATCATCCATGGCACGCTATCGCATTGTGGTCACTGCAGTGGGATTTAAGGGGAAAGAGGCATGAAAGGGAAAGCAGATGTGGTACAGTAGGGATCGAGTGAGGCAAGGCTGAGTGGCCAACAGATGGGCTGGCACTTGCTCAGAAAAGAACTCATATATAGAGGCAGAAGAAGTGAGAAGGCGATCGCAGCGAGCACGATGAGTGCATTGAAGCATGACCCAGATGGGTGCATTCAGGTGACAGGTGATCACAGTGCAATCTATAAGACTTCTTCCCCTGCTCTACGTTGCCCTGCCCTGTCCTACTTGCCTTTTCCCTGTTCTGTGCTGCTTTGCTCAACCCCAAACCTCCGAAGAACAACCTCTTTAGACAGATAGAAATAAACGGAGGCAGATTCTTTGGTGACGGTGTGGCAAAACGGTCAGGCGCCCGACCGTGGCTGCCACCTCAGCAGCATCAACAGCCATCGGCACATGCGCTGGCAGCACTCCCACCCATGGGTTGGGGCCATTCCAACTGACAGGAGGCAGGAGGGAAGATGTGAGATAGAGAAAAGAAACGAGGGAGGTGAGAGAGGTGAGGCAAAGAGAGCATTCCAGCATGCAGACCCCAGTGGCCTTGCATGCTAGGGGGACAGAGAGCAGGGGCAGCTTGGCTTGGCGCTACCACTTATGCCGCCACCTCAAACGTCTCAAGAGCGAATCTTGAGACCTCTCATGCAAGCCTCATATGTTGGCACGGCATGGGCACAGGACAAGGGAGTGATTTTTGAATGGCAAGGTGGAAGATGAGGGAACTGAGAGATTGTGAGCGGAGGGCGTGAGTGGAGAGAGGTGCACGGTGAAGTGAGTGAGGAGGCTGGAATGGAACTTGTCTACCTGTTGTGACTTTGCTGGGCGAGGCTTGTGAGGGGACCCAAGCAGCATGAACTTCGAGGCGCCTCAAAAAACGTCTTTTGAGGTGCCTAAAGAAACTTGCCTGGGCGAGGCTGGTGATGGGCCCCAGCTGCATGATGCTGGCCTGCCCTGGCCTGCCCTCCTCCTCACATCTGTGCAATGCCACGCACACAAGGCATACTTGCCTGGGCGAGGTTGGTGACAGGCCGCAGCAGCATGAGGGCAACTTGTCCTGCTCTCCATGCCTCCTCGCATGCCCACTCCCACGCCTTCTGCTGCGCAGTTGTATGTAAGCCCCCCTCTAACCTGCTCTGCCCTCTGCTCTGCCCTCTGCTCTTCCCTCTGTTGCCATGCCATGTCACCATCCACACCGCTGCCCTCAGCGCTGCCCCTCAGCAGCACTGCCCCTCAGCAGCACTGCCCCTCAGCAGCACTGCCCCTCAGCAGCACTGCCCCTCAGCACTGCCCCTCAGCACTGCCCCTCAGCACTGCCTGATACGGCGGGTTCTGCAGGCCCACGCAGCACCACTCGCCACAGGCCGTCTCGGCGCAGAGAGGAGAAGGTAGGAAGAGGGAGATGCGCCGCTGCCATTGCCGCTGCTGACGGGGCTGCTGCTGCCATTGCTCATGGTGGGTGGAGCTTGTGCTGACAGGTGTGTGTGGCTACTGAAATGCTTGGCTGACAGGAGCGGAGCAGACAAGGGGAAACGTGGTTGAAACTGGAGGGAAAGGAAAGTAGAGAATTATCGCGTATCCGCACTTCAAAACAGAAGAGCGGAGGAGGAACTTTGCAGAAGAAAATTGAAAGTCCATGCACGTCAAGTAAGCGGATGCGGAAAGTGGGAGTACTGCTGAATGTAGAGCGGTTGAGAGCGGTGCTGTGGGGTCCCAACAGGCGCATCCGGAGACCTGCTGGTATGCACTGGAAATGGAATGGAGAGAGAGGGGCAGAGAGAGAGGGAGACGGAGCGCGAGGGGCGGAGAGGGAAGAGAAGGAGAGAGAGGGACGGAGAGAGAAGGGTGGAGAGGGAAGGGAAGGGGGAGAGGGACGGAGAGAGAGGGGAGGAGAGCGAGTGTCAAAGAGGGCGAGTGGATCGTTGCAGACAGATGCAGGCATGGAAGCCGGAGGGAGACGTGGGGTATTGAAGTGATTCGGTCTTATTTGAGACTCGGTGTTTCGGCATTTAACAACATAAAACAACAAACACCACTGTTTTGAGACTCTGTTTCGGTGTGTTTAAGTCAACAGTTAGAAGGAGTCAACACGACAAAGTGAACTCAACTTCAATACAGCCACGAGAAAGCCCGCACAGATAATCGCCAACCCACATGCTCACATCTTACACCAGAGAATGGAAAACTCGTTCAGAGGAAGCACAGTGAAACCATCAGGTCATGAGCGCTGTACACGGCAGCTTGACACGTCGCATAGTGGCCGAATGACGTGGCAACGTCAAGCACACACGAAATTACGCGTCCTTTTAAGGCTGTAAGAGTCGCCAAGGCGTCGTCTGGACGGCCGAACAGAAGGGGGGAGAGGAAGTGGAAGCGGGGAGGGGGAGAGAAGGGGGAGGGAAAGGGGAGGGAAGGGGGAGGAGGAAGGGGGGAAGAGGGGACAAGGGGGAGCGGGGGAGCGGGAGAAGGGCGGGAGGAAAGGCTGACGCTAGCCAGAATAGCTAACATCCTATCAAGCTTTTTCGAATCGGCCGAACTGGGGACTCCTAACCAAAACAGCGAAGACGTTAAGCAGAAAACCTACTGAAGGCGACAGGCGGGAGTAATAAATCAAAACCGTCGCATCGAAAAAACATTGATGCTTCGAAAAGTTATCGCGAAAGAATGTCGCCACGTTGCCAAACAAATCTCCAGATTTTTCTCGTTGCATGCCAAGCCAGACTGACGTGTCCACCGCTGGTGTCCGAACTTCAGAACCGCTCCGAGAGGAGAGAGCATGGAGTTGAGTCCTTATGTTCTGTTGAGATGGCATTCAGTATTTCATGGCACGGATTATGAGTTCCCTCCGTTCATTATCACGCGTCACATTTCTTCGCCCTCCGCTCAGAGTCATTATTCTAGGGCGTGTCCAGCGCGTACACTTTGGGTTTTTTACATAAATCTAACGTATTTGGGATCACGAGCAGAAATAGTACCGCCGGGTGTGGCCTTTTAGTTTCGCGTCCAGGAAGGTGCAGGAAGACACGATTCGCCCCTCAGCACAAATCTAACACCAAGTTGGGCGACAGTGGCGACAACACTACTTTGTAACTAAGATTTGGCGAGCCCTCACAGATTCTTGCGAAAATCGTCCTTGACTTCGTTGAACCGGTATTGTAGCAACTCGGACACGTGAAAGTTTGATTTTGGGGTTTGTTACGGCTTTTCGCGTCATATTAACGATTTGGCGCACGTGTGGCCTGTGACAGGTTGTACGTATCGTAGAAGTTCGTGTCCAAAAATATTGTTAAAACATGGTTATATTTTAAAAAAGTGGTAACTGTAGCGCCAGATGAGCTGTAAATGTACGCGCTGGACACGCCCCTAGTGTGAAACTGTGCGCTCTGGTGTGGTTTTCCTCTTCACCGCTCGGAATCGTTTTCCACCGATTACCAAAGCAGACCCGCGCCAAGGGCGAACCGTTGCTTAGGACGTGTCTCATGTGGAGGGTCCGCTGGATCTGGTCCGCGACCAGAATCTACAGGCCTGGTCCGGGGCTGTGGTCCGACGGACCCACTTGGCGGACCAGCGTTGGGCCAGACACGGACTGGTCTGCCTGATGCGTCGCGCTTCGGGCTGCACAGTATTTGCGAGATGCAGCAGTAGCGACGAATATGAAATTGAGTTACCCATTTTCTTCGTCTGCACAAAAATCTCACGCGAAACTTACAAAACAAGAAATTTCGCCAAAACAAATGTTTCCCCACCCACTGTTTACGGACCAGGCGCGGACTGGTCTGGAGGGCCAAATAAATGGCCCCGTTTTAGTGCTATTCGAACGGTATAACGGGGTTACAAGCCCCACATCCTGGTCCCGGTCCGCCCTGGTTCACGCGCTGGTTCTTGAGCTGGTCCGTCAGGTCCGAGCCGTACCCACGTGGACTCAGACATCTGAGACACACTCTTACCAATCTCGATCCTTTTGAACGCTGCGTTTCCCGAACCAGTTGTGCTTCGGCGACGAGGGTTCGGGTTCATAACCGAACGAAACAGTATCACGACAGATTTATTTTGGTGGACCACGCACGGTTTCGAACCACGACGCATAACGAAACAATTCACGAAATCTAGCGGAAAACTAGCACCGAAACCACACTAGCGGGAAACTAGCAGCGAAATCACGAAACAAATCAAACACAGCAAAAACACTCTGGTTCGGGAACCGGGTAACCCTCTCCTACACCCGAAAGGGTATCCACCACGTCAGGCACGCGTTGCGTACGAGATTCACGCATGTCACACTCGTTTAGCAGACCTAGTTCAAACTCTGTCTAGGCTTCTTCAACTCGCTGCAATCCGTCCTTATATATAGCTGCTTAGTAGTCTCGTCTGCTATGGAAACGATGGAGACAGCGACACATATTAACGACCTTCCCGACGACATCCTCGCTAAGATACTATGGCATTGCGAGGAGTCAACACCTTGGAAACCCGAGAGTGACGCGTTATGGTCTCGGCATTCATTGTCGCCGAAACCACGGTACCTTCGCTCGATCGTCTTAGACAAAGATCCCAGTCCTGAGGAGGAAGACTCGTATCCAGTATCGTACCCTCCCGCCATTCCAACCGCTGCCAAGATCTTCCTCGTGTCGTCGGTGTGCCGTCGTTGGCGCGATGTAGCTCAGCGTAACATCTCCACGCTGCTCGTCGAAAGAAAACAAGCCATTTCCCTCCAACAACTCTCGAATGCCGTCGCGTGCTTCCCGAACCTCACCCATCTCCATCTGTGCGACGACAGCGTGGAAACCCTAGACGACACCTTCCTCGCTCACCTCGCATCATCCTGTCCTCAGCTCAAGTTTCTCCACGTGGGACGCTCGATCACTCACCATCCAGACTACGTCGGACCGAAACAGAAGCACCCGATCACCGAAGCTGGTCTGGATCGCTTCTTCCAGCGATGCACTCAGCTGGAGCAGCTTTCACTGCTCTGCCTCCATCCGGACGTCCACCTACCCGCTTCCTTCTTCCACCTCACGCGTCTTCACACCCTGGCTTTAACAGCCGCCTCCGCCTTAGAAGCTCCAGATCTGGAGACCCTCGGCTCGCTCACCAATCTTCATGTCACCTCCCCGGAGGTGACCGAGGAGCAACTGGCCAACGTGCGTCGTCTTCCCAGCATCACCGGCCTTTCACTCTCTGCCGGGACCTCGTTTTCTCCTCATGGCTCGGCTGCCTTCGCCATTGCACAGCTGCCTTTGATCAAATCGCTGGACTCTCGCCACGTGTTGCTGTCGGATTGGCCATTGACCAGTCTAGAACGCCTGCAGATATCAGATTGCAGAGATTTGAAGCGGCTTCCGGCCAGAATCGCGGAGTTGCTGCCGCGTCTGCGTGAGCTGACCGTTTCCAGGTGCCATGCCTTGGAGGAGCTGCCAGAAGGTGCCTATTCCCTGAAGCACCTCGAGACCTTGTCACTCATCAAATGCGACAAATTCCGCTGCCTGCCTGTAAACGTTGGGCGATTGTCTGCCTTGTCAACTCTGGTTCTGGATCTTTTGCCGCTGCTGGCGAGCCTGCCTGCCTCCATCTGCCAGCTCAGCTCCCTGGAGACCTTCTTCCTGCTCTCGTGCGACTCAATCCGCGAGCTGCCAGCAGGGTTCGGCTGTCTCACAGCTCTCACGACTCTCTGCCTCGAACGAGTGGCGCTTCCAGCGGACATAGGACGCCTCAGTAACCTCCACACGCTGCTTGTGACAACGAGCTTCGGGTATCCGCATCTCCCGTGCTCGTTATCGAAAATCGCGTCGCTGACGAGGCTTGAGCTGAACGGGTGCGGCGTGGAGTTGCTGCCAGAGGGCGTGGGGTCGCTCAGCAGCATGCGCGAGCTGCACGTCTCGTCCTGCCCTCGGCTCACGGCCCTTCCAGCGTCCGTGACGGGCCTGACTGCCCTAGAAGCTCTCTCACTCGCTGACTGCCATAATCTGACCTCGGCACCCACAAGGCTGGACGGCCTGACGCGGCTCAAGCGGCTGGAGTTGGCCCGATGTGACATGCTGACACGGCCTCCTCTAGTCCTGCCGGCTTCAATTGAATGGCTGGGTTGGGGAGGTTTCAGGCATGCCATGCCTCTGCCAGACGTCTCCACGCTGACGGGGCTTCGGACGCTTCGCCTGGACGTAGTTGCGGTGGGGTGTGGGGTCGCTGTGAGCAGGAGCCTGTCGCACCTGGAGCATTTGCAGCTGACGTTGGCTAACGATGCGGAGGAGCTTCCATTCGCCTTGACGTTCCTCTCCCACCTGCGCACCCTGATCATTGACTACGCGATAAACCTCCAAAGGCTGCCGGCCGACATTGGGTCAGCACTGCCGCAGCTGCGGAAGCTGAAGCTGGTATCGGCGTACGAGTTAGGGGAGTTGCCAGCGAGTGTGACTGCGCTGCAGAACCTGACGTCCTTAACGGCTTGCAATGCGCCACTGGCCTCTCTTCCGGATGGCATCGGTGCCTTGTCGCGGTTGCGCGAGCTGGACCTCTACAACTCCGACGACCTTGACCAGCTGCCTGCCTCTCTCACCCACCTTACCCGCCTGAACCTCCTCTCGATCACAGCCTGCCCCATCCGCTCCCTGTGCCCCACCGTTTCCCAGTTCTCGCGGCTCAGATCCCTCAGTTTGTCAGGCTGTGCGCAGCTGGAGGCATTGCCGGGGGATGTGAGTGCGCTGACGGCACTGAGGAGCCTGGATGTGGAGGAGTGTGGGCATGTGACGGACACGGATGGGTCAGTGCTCCCCAGAAGCATCAATGAGGTGTACGGGCTGAAAGTATCCACGCACAGGTAGGCACTAGTAAGGTTCTATGGCATGTCATGTAGCATCTTTTATTATAGGATGTTTGCTTAGCTGTGATGTGATGTGATGTGATGTGATGTGATGTGATGTGATGTGATGTGGTGTGGTGTGGTGTGGTGTGGTGTGGTGTGGTGTGGTGTGGTGTGGTGTGGTGTGGTGTGACGTGACGTGACGTGACGTGACATGATGCGATGCGATGCGATGCGATATGATGTGATGTCTCTGAGGTGGGCAGTGCAAATACTAGGAAGGTTGGGAATGATTACAATCTTAAGAGATACGGTACGGTAGTTAGGGAGGGTTCTGAACACCTGGACGAATGATGATGAGGGTGATTGCTTCACGGGCTGACTGTTGCTGCTGGTGTTACCATCAATGACATCTATGTTACTACCTTGATTTTGTACTACTACCCACATCATTGGCTTTATACCTATAAAAGAGGACTGAAGATACTCGCAAGGTAAGATACAAGAGTCGAGGGAAACCCCCCCATGGCCCCCCCAAGGCCCCCCCAAGGCCCCCCTACCCCCCAAAGCCCCTCACAGCCCCTCCCAGCCTCCCCCCCTCTAGCCCCTCGAATCGCCCCTCACAGCACCTCACAGCGCCTCACAGCCCTGGGAAGGGTTTAGGGACTGTGTCTGTGGCTCTGTGCGTCTGCGTCCCATCGTTCCTTCAGCCTTGACCCTGTATCTCTGTCTCTCCCCCTGTGTCTTGAGCCGTCTCAAAAATCCTTGACCCTGTGTCCCTGTCTCTCCATGCCTCTGTCTGTATGTTGCTGTCCCTGTGTGCGCATGACTGGCCTGCCTGCGTGGCAGGTACTTGGAGCGGGTGGCAGCAGTGGGGGGGGGGCAGCCAAGAAGAGAGTCTTATGTCTCTGTACCTCTTCGTCCTCTCATCCCCGTCCCTATGCCCCTATGTCTCTGTGTCCCTGTTTCTCTCTCTCCCTGTCCCTGTATCCGCCGCATGACTGACTGCCTGACTGACTGCCTGCCTAACAGGTACTTGGAGCGGGTGGCAGCAGCGGTGAAGGCAGCCAAGAAGAGAGTCCCAGGTATACCCGCGTGACTTACCATGTAACGCTCCTGATGCATGCACTCACTTGCAAGCACCTGTACGCATTCCTCTACAGTCACTCATTTACAAGCACTTGCACGCAAGGCACACTCTAATACAATCAATCCCTGAGAACCATTGCATGCCATTGAACCCCTTCCCAAGCACATGCATTCCCCACGTTCATTCCGCACTCCATCCCACAATGCCCCCCTGTGATCACATCTCACGCTGCTGTTGGCTTGTTTACAAGGGAGCTCTCTCAAAGAGATGTTCTTCATTCCCCCCCGTCACCCCACGGCACCCGCCCCTGCCAGGTGCCTCGCAGGTGTCACTGGGTGGCTGGCCCTCTGCTTGACCCCACCCCCTCTCCCCCTCTGCACTCCCCTGCCAGGTGCCTCGCAGGTGTCACTGGGTGGCTGGGCTGCAGTACCCGCTGCTACTCCCGCTCCTCGTGTACCCTACCCCCTCTCTCCCCTACACACCCGCCCCCGTCAGGCGCCTCCCAGGTGTCGCTGGTGGCGCACTCAGCAGGTGCACTCCCCACCGCTCTCATATTCCCATCTCCCTTCACGCCTCTCCCGCCTGCACTTCCCCCCCAGGCGCCTCCCAGGTGTCACTGGTGGCGCACTCAGCAGGCGGGTGGCTGGCCCTCTTCTTGACTGTCTACACGCGGAGTACGGCCATGCTGACGTGGCGCTGCTGCTCTCCCTCGGCTCGCCGCACCTGTGAGTGTGTGAGGCAGCGCAGCGTGCCGTGGCATGGCATGACATGTGGTTGTGGCGAGGGCGAGAACAATCTGTTTAGAATTCTCGAAAGCCGCGGCGTGGGGCAGCACAGCGTGCTATGGCATGTTGTTGTGGCGAGGGCGAGAGCGTGTGCCGAACTTGTGACTGAATCATAGCATGTGGACAATGGATGGTGTATTCGAAAAGAAAAGCATGCAATCATGCAGCATTGCACCCTCGCCTCGCCTCTACCCCTCTGGATCATTCTGTGAGCTGTCCTCACTCATTTTGCTGCTTTCTTCGTTTTCCCCTTTTTGTCTCCCCTTCCACGCATCACCTCCAACCAGTCCACCGCCCCCAGGGGCAGAGGGGGTGGTGGATCAGACCAGAGGTCTGCTAACGCAGATGCAAGCCATCTCTCCAGGCCGTCTCGCCAGGCCATGTCGATGGATCATGGTTGCTCTTGAACAATCCATGTTCTCTCCCTTACCATCACCATTACCTCTACCCCTCCCAACTTTTCCTCCCACCTCATGTCTGCTCCCACCAGCCCACCACCCGCAGGGGTGCAAGGGGTGGTGGATCAGACGAGAGGCCTGCTAACGCACATGCAGGCCGTCTCTCCAGGCGCCTTCCACGCACCGCACGTCAAATACGTCTGCGTCTCGGGCAGGTGGGGCTCATTCTTTTGGAGAGGGGAGGTTCATTCTCTGGGGAAGCGGAGGTTGGTTCTTTGGGGGAGGGGAGGTTCTCTCTGGGGGAGGTTCTCTCTGGGTGAGGTTATCTCTTGTGCAGGTGATCACCCTGGCTGTCCAGGTATGATACTGTTGCCTATGTCCACATGCCTGTGTCTCATGCAGGTGAAGCCTTTCCCGCCAGGCAGGTGAGACTCTCTTGCCTCCACTCCACATCCCCTTGTGCTGCGTGTTCTATTCCCGCTGGAAACCTCTTATTTCGCTTGGACCGGTTTTTTTTTTTTTTTTTTTTTTTTTTTTTTTTTCTGGCTTTGTGCCAGTCTCACAGCCAGCCTTTCCTTTCCCCATCACCTCCTCCCCACAACCCCACCCACCCAACCATGCAGGTACATCAAGGGCTTGCCCCTGTTCGGCAGCACTGCTGCCACCCCTGCAGAAGCCACAGCAGCCTCAGCACCAGCCGCTGTGGCAGCCGTGGCAGCAGCAGCAGGAGGAGAGGCGCGCGTGTTTGCCCTGGATGTGAAACCAGTGGGGGTGGGGGGCGCAGCAACACAAGCAGCTGGTGGGTCGGATTCAGAGCCGGAGAGTGAGAGTGAGGGGGAGAGGAAGGAGGGCAGCAGCGGGGCTTCAGGTGAAAAGAACCAGGAAGCAGTTGCTGGGAGGCAGGTGCAGGTGGCATCTGGGGGAGGTGTGTTCCAGGCGCGCATGGTGGGGCAGGGGTACAAGCAGGTGTGCGGGCGGGCGGACGTGTGGGGGGACGGAGTCGTGCCGGAAGATGCCGCCCTGCTGGAGGGGGTGGAGAATCTGATCCTGGACGGCGTGTATCACTCGCCTGTGGGGGCCAGTGAGGCCCGGCCGTGGTACGGGTCTCCCTCCGTGCTGCCTTCATGGCAGCACCACCTGTTGGCTTGAGCTGGGATGAACTGCTCTCATGCACCTCAAAGGCCAGTGAGGCCCGGCCGTGGTATGGGTCCCCGCCCCGTCCGTGCTGCCCTCGTGGCAACACCACCTGTTGGCTTGAGCTGGTATCCGTTGTCAAATGTCTCCTTGGATTGGGAGGTCGAATCGGCTGGTAAGTCGAGTTTCGAATGATGAGTGGGGATGCATGGCAGGCAGGATGAAAGGGGCGGAATAGGAATGGGAGGGACTGTCAATATGGAATGGCAGGGAGCAGATTGGTGGAATGGGAAGGCGTGAAGTGAACGGATGTGTGCAGTTGAGTGAGGTGGGAGGGAGTGATGCGCATAATCTCATGGTAGAAGGTGCAGACAGGATGATTGCAAGTGGGCGTACCATATCAACCATGCAGCCGCATGTAGTGAAACTTTAGCAAGCAGTTTGGCTCAGCTCTCGAAGGCCAGACATGAATTTGAGGTGGTGTATATTAAGGCTGAATTTAAGCTTCTGTATGCCCTGCAGCCTGTATTGATATATAGGCTCGGGTAAGCTTCTGTGCGATCGCTCAACGGTTTTTGTTTGTAGTTGAGCTATTTTGTGCGAGCTATGGAATTTCGACGATGATGAGTCCATTCATCCATTCTGCACCGGGTTCCGTTCTGCACCTTGATAGGCAGCCCCGATACTGGATGGATTTTGCCACACCAATCAGGCAAACATTGACGGCTCATTTTCATCCTAGTCACTATCCATCGCGAACTGACGGTCGGAGATGAACGGAACTGAGACGGCAACACAGGAGGACTCATTTCCATCTTAAAGCCCAAGACCTGAATTACTCAATGGAAGTCAACGCTAAAAACTAGGTTCGGAAGGCAGGCTTGCAGAGGTTCGGTTGGGTTGGGAGACACTTTCACTCGCGAAACCAATTTGCGACAAAAGTTTCTCGCTTGCCATGTTGGGTAAGCTGACCATGCACCCTCCCACATCCCACAGCGAACGAGTCATGACCCCATCCCCAGCGCTCGAGACCGGCGTGCCAAACGTCCGCGGCCAGAGTGGGTGAGAGGCAGGGGGGGAGGGAGAATGAGAGAGAAGGGAAGGAGGGTGCAACGGGTTGTAGAGCAGGTGGCAATGGGGAGAGCGAGAGCGACCAAACGCGGCAATGGGAAGGGAAGCAACGACGAACGTAAATACGATAGGAACGGACGAGAGGGTGGGCGGTGTGCGTGGAGAAGCGATGGTGATGAAGAGGGGGAACGTGATAGGCAGGGGAGTGATGACGACGTGGAGAGAGGTGGGAGGGAAGGGAAGTCGGAGGGTAGGGAAATTTCCAGGCGACAGGGAAGACGATGGGAGGAGAAGCGTGGGCGACGGTGGGGCGAAGCGTGGGCGACGGTGGGAGGAAGCGTGGGCGACGGTGGGAGGAAGCGTGGGCGACGGTGGGAGGAAGCGTGGGCGATGAGCGGGGAAGAGTGAGGGAAGGTGAGGAAAGGCGTCTAAGCGACGATTTGGGGAAGCGTGGGCGAAGGCAGGAGAAAGCGTGAGCGACGGTAAGGGGAAGCGTGAGCGACGGTGGGGAAGAGCTTGGGTGACGGTAAGGGGAAACGTGGTTGTGCGGGGGGGGGGTGTGTGAGAGCGCGGAAGGCGCCCGGGCCAAATGCGATGTTTGCGGAAGGGCGATGCCAGGGCTCCCGTGTGAGAAACCGTGATACGCCCTCCCGTTGCTGTTTCGGGAGTAAGCTAAGACCACCAATCCCGTCGGGGTCTCTATTTTGGCCGTAGGATAGATACGCTTGGTGTCCTACGGGTGCAGTAAAAAATGTGAAAGTGCTCATGGCCTATCCTGTAGTGGTGTTTGTTCGGTCTCTTCGCATGATCTACGAGTGCTAGGAGTACAACACGCTCGACCTGAATTACCTGAGTAGGCAAACTGTGCACAGTTTGAGAGGAGGTTTTTTCTGGGGGCTGTGGTTGGGACTCTCGCCAACCAAACCTGTTCTGCTCCACGACTCTCTGTTTTTTTGTATGCGATCTTTTTTGGTAACCAGCCTGGCTCGGGAGGTCAACTGTGGGTTCGGTAGGCAAACTGTGCACAGTTTGCCTTCTCTTTCTTGTAATTCAGGTCTTGGGCTTTAATCCCTAACCATGCGAACCAACGGCACGAGATGAACGGGACTGAGACAGGAAGGACATGGTAACTTCGATTTAGGTCACGAAATCACCAAGGCTTGAAATTGACGACATCACGATAGTCGCGAGCTGTACGCGACGACTCAATGTTCGTGAGTGTTTTCGCCAGGAGCCGAACCGTGAGCTGAAGTCAACCGTCATTAGCCGTGACTCGCATGTCCCAGGCTCCCAGCGCCCTAGCAAGCCGTGTGAAGCCTATCGCCCCGCCGAACTTTTCCTCTTAGCAGAGCAAAGGCAGCGAAAATGAGCAAAAAGGTATAAACCTCGAACAGGACTAGAGGCCAAGAGGCACTCCCGTCACTGCTCAATACCAACGCTATCCACGCAGGACAATTGTGTGTTTCTCACCTCTTTTCTCGGATCTGTTATAGGGTTTGTAGTTAATAGAATTGTCTAGTCACACCTGGTCTTGCATCGTGGTAGAGTCATGTTGCGAGCATCGTTTAATATACTGCCAGACGAGCTCATCTGCCATGTCTTCCGTTGCCTAAACAAGCAGTCGCCTAGCTACTTCAATCATGCATTGGTCTGCAAACGTTGGAACCGCCTAGCTTACCTTGCTCAGACGTCCATCGCCAACAGATCGTCTAGCCTTACAGTTGATGGTGACCTTCGGACATCTCTTTCCCAGTTCAAAAGGTTGTCTTCTCTCACGATAAACAATTGCGTTTTAGATCCATCATATAATGACGAGTTTTTTCAGTACCTATAATCTGTCTGTCCTGGGTTAACTTATCTTGACCTGAACAGCGATTGTGGTAACGGGTTTGACGTGTAAAGGTGCAGATGCCCTCTTTTCAGCGTGCACTGACCTGGAATACCTCTCCCTTGACATCATGATAGATCAATCCGATTTCACTTGTGAGATGCCACAATCCTTCTTCTACCGTATCTTTCATCACTAACGGAGGTCTATCTGAACGCCAACTTCGACAATTACCCGGATAGATTCGACGATTTGACTTCCCTGACCAAGTTGACACTCGCCTTCGTGTGGGCTCACGAATTCCCAGAATCACTCTGTCACATCACGGGGCTGACCGAGCTGAAGCTGTTCCGAAATGACGGACCGTTAGAGAGTCTACCTGATTCCCTTGGTGAGCTGAAGACATTGGTCAAACTCAGCATTTGCGAAATGGACGGTTTGAGCGCTCTTCCTGACACCATCGGCCAGCTTCAGAACCTCCGAGAGATTTACTTACATCACAATAATCTCATAGAAGAACTCCTAGATTCCTTTTTCGATCTCCGTTCTTTGCAAGTTATTGAAGTTGTGTATTGTAACAGCGTTGCATCCCTCCCAGCAGCGGTGCCAGGCCTCGTTTCTCTCAAGACGCTAGCCATTAAAAACTGCGAGTGCTTCCACACGATCTCTGATTCCTTCTGCAACCTTTCTAACCTCCACGTGCTGATTCTTAAGAACTGCTCACAGCTGGTGGACCTTCCACTGAGGATGGATCGCCTGTCGTCGCTGGAGCATCTCGAGCTGAGGCAGCTGAAAGGTCTTTCCAATCTTCCAGATACCATTTCCAGGCTGTCCAATCTCCGCACCTTCTCCTTCACCTACTGCGATGGTGTTGTCAATCTCCCTCCATCCCTGGCCCAGCATTGGAGCAAGCTGACGTCCCTTGAGTTTAGTTGGCCAGCCAGCTGTACGGGTGGCTATAAGGATCAACATGCCTTCATGTTGTCCCTTGGCCATCTCTCGAGTCTGACATCCCTCCTCCTGATTGGTTTCCATGAACTGAATCAGCTTCCATATCAAATTGAGGAACTTTCAAGACTGCAGCGGCTGACTTTGAGCAACTGGGCAAACATGGTATGCTTGCCCGATTCCATGAGCAGCCTCACCAGCCTCAGAACTCTCGTGATCGCCGCATGCCCGTGCTTTGAAGAAGAGGATGGCGAGACAATCTGCAAGATTCCGAACCTGGACAGCGGATGTGTTGATGGTAGGCTGCTGGGGAAGGGATCATTTGGAGGAAAGAAGTGACTGGGTGGGGTGCGGAAGGTAGCTGGGATGTTTGGATGTTCCTTGGTGGGTGTAGTTATGATTGCTGGGTTGTAGAGGCGGGGCATGGATATTTTACCTTATGTGTTTACCAGGCCTCTTGATATAAGGGTGAATCACCCTTATGACCCTTACTATAAGGGTGTGTTCTGATTCGAACCCTTCACAAAGTGGATCTTTTTCTGACACTTACAGGAAAAAGTGAATATGTTTAGGACCCTGATATTTCAGAGTGAAGTGGTGTTGTTGCACTGATCAGGAACATACATCCTCCTAAAAAATACAGAATTGGCTCATAGAACCAAGTCACATGGGTAACATTGCCCATCAATTGCCTCCCACAAGTATCGATCCCGCGGTCCTTGCATTACAAACCCACTGTCCTAAGTTGTCACGCCTATCCACCAGTTATATTTTCATCGCAAGGTTCTACATTGGTTTTAATCCTTACAGAAAAGAGTGGTGCTTGACCGGTACCCTTACAGAAAGAGTGAAAGCAGCTGGTTACCCTTATGAGAAAGACTGGTTCAAATCCTATCCAGAGGCCTGGTGTTTACCATTTTGCAGAGGATTTGCCTTTTTTCAAGTTGTGAACTTGACATCAGTGGTCCAGATAGGCACACAATATAGGTACGGCGTTCACTGTACTGACATCTTGTTTCTTTCTTCTGTGCTGTAATGTAGCTTAAACAAAAAGTTTTTTTTACGGTAATGCCAACACATTCACCAATTGAGCTTAAGCAACAATGTTACAGAGCGCCCACTGCATTTATTCTCTCACACAACTATTCTTACATGTGTGCCTGCATCA